CCCCCCCCCCCCTGTGATTTTGGGTTGCACAACTTATTTTGGTGAAGCATGTCACTGACTTTGTTCAGTGTTAGTGCTAGAGAAAGTTCCTCGTAACCATAAAACTGTGCCCCAGTTGATCACCAAATGTAAAAACGTGACCGTTTAATGGAGGTGAATTACCATAATGTTAGCCAATTTGGAAGTCCAAACGGTGACCGCGTCCGCTTGATAGAGGTGACCACTTAATGGAAGTCAAATATATCAAATATACAGTAAATTTGTGAAGTGAATTTCGGGAATTTGAATAGTGACCTCTTAATACGGGGTGACCGCTTAATAGAGGGCTGCTTAATAGAGGTTTGACTGTATGTTCGACAAAGCCGTCCATTTTCGAAAAGTCTGATAGTGCATCGTCTTCCGAGTTGTCTCCGTCGTCTTCAGAATTAAATCAATAGATTGCAGCTCGAGTCAGTAGCTGTGTCATTATCTCGGGTTTCCACAAGGAACATAACACAGAACGCGAGCCACTAGTTCCGCTTTTCCCCTTTTGACTTGTAAAATGAGCTTCTGCATGTACAGTTTAAACTTGTTTGCCGTCAGCAAGCTGAATGGGCGCTCGTTGTTCCAGTCTTGTTTGGCAGTGTGTTTCTTTTAGCTGCTCTTTTTTGTGCCTTAAGTGCAAGAAACTCATGGGTACTTTTCGTTCGCTGCTTATGGTCAGTGAAAACATCTCCAATAAACAGAAACGGATACGATTCGGGAAAAAAAATAAAGTACGATCTTTACAGTTTGACAGACCGTGCAAGACATTTTCTTTATTGTGGTTAAAGAAAACTGGTTGCAGCAAATGAAACTACTGTAACATATTTTGGCTAAATGGTAAAGAGAATTTTCAAGTTTATCACTTTTGGGAATCAAAGTGTTTGCCTTATGTTAGTGCATCAAACGTTACCAGAACATGTTTACAACCCCTACATGTACACTTTTTTCTTTTTTTGTCACAGGGTATTTTTGGCAATGCTGTTGAAATCTTGAAACCCCTCCGTTACAAAATCCTTAATATTGGAGGCAGCAACGCTCAAGTAAGGGAATGTTTCGTGCGATAAGAATGCTTACTGTGTAGACACTAGTGTTTTGCAGGAAAATGCACCACTCGTAAAATACATACGAAACCACATCCCGGAACCGAGTGGCCTATTTTCCATATCATCCTCACTGTTGACTTTCCTACGGTTGTTTGTCCAAACAGTCAGTTTGTCTCTATATAAAATGAAAATTACACGCTGTCTTGAAGATGTGAGTTTCATTTTCTCGTGTTAAAAACAATATTTTACCTCTCGAAAATAAAATTCATATCTTTCTTTCCTCCGTGTAATATACTCCATATATTGGCCCTCGGTCCTTTTTGTGCTAACCTCGCTGCGCTCGATCCGATAGTACTCAGAGGGGCCCTCGCGCTCGGTTAGTTAAAGGATATTGTCTATCTTTATTATATCAGTGGCTTGTTCCTGTAGCCGACGTCTCGTGCGCTCTGATTGGCTAATTGTAGGGCATTATTCTCCCGTAATGCCCACGGGCCGATTACGGGCTTGCAAAAACAAAGCAAAAAGCCACATAACAAACAACTTACTAACCTCGAACGTTCAGTCTCTACGGGAAAATCTCAGACCTCAACCTTGCCGTATTGATCTCGCTATCGCTCGGTCAATACGGCAGGGTCTCGGTCTGAAATTTTCCATAAAGACTTCAGTCTCGGTTAATAAGTAGTTAGTAATATTACTGATATCGCGTTTTTTTTTTGTTTTTTTTTTTCATACAGAGAGACATTTTCAACTTATACCTAATTTACGCAGCTTTGAATTCCCCGCGAAAACAACATCATAAATTGGTTAGGTAAATACGTACTTTTGTTCAAGTGTAATACTTTCCAGGTTTACCACATGTCAGGAATTAAAATGGTCAGGAGTAAAAAATCGTTTGTGTCAGGGAAAAGTCAGGGATTTTGTCTTGAGAATGGGAAAATTGACATTCTGGAAAGAAAAACAAACGGAACAAAAAAAATAGTCAGGGATGATTGAAATTATAGCGTCGTTGATTTAATACCATCGATGGCTAAAGGAAATGTGAATTTCGGATCACAGTGATCTTAACGATGTTTGTCCTTGATGAAGAAGGCGAATTTGTTGAAAACTAATCCTTAAATGAATGGGGGGAAGGACGGCTGCAATGGGAGGCATCTGACATTTGTATTTATTTTTAAAGGAAAATTAAATCTTATCAGGAAAAAGCCAAGGACAAGTCAGAGAATTTTGAAAAGCGATATCTGTGACAACCATGTTTTAAAAAAGGATATTTTATTATGTTTTTAGACGAACTTAACAATACTATTGTTTTCTTCTTGTCTAGGAGCTTATTAACAGAGAGAAAGGCAATGAAGGAAAACGCGCCGATGACAGACCGACTCATGGGCAAGGCTTTAGCACTGCACGTGGAATAACGAGAACGTCTGGTTTTTGACTCCTAGTTAGGCACTTAATATTAGGTACGAACTAAAAATTTATTTAAACAATGCAATATTCACAATAACAAAATTACAGTTGTCCGACGGTTCGATGTTGTTGACATCATTATCAAGGTAAAATGACAGTTTTATCACGGTGTGAATAAGTGAATAACGTGGAAATATTGTTTATTTGCGTTCGTGTAAGTCAAGTCAAGTCAAGTCGAGTCATCTTTATTTAGGCAGGGTAGCCCCATCAGCCATAGGCTGGTATCAAAAGGAGCCCTGCGTATGTGTAAAACATTTTACCACTCCAAAATAAAATTCATATCTTTCTTTCCTTTGTGTAATATCCTCTATGTATTGGCCCTGTATTTGGGTGTGTTGCCCTGTATTCGGGCCGCAAATGTGTAGGTCATTTGCGGCCTGAGCGCGAAGCAAAGCCAAGTGTACTATCAATATACAAGGCCAAATGACATCAAGAAAGCGATTTTTAATAATACAAGTGAATAATGAATTCAAAATCACTTCAAATCATCATGTAACTGTTGATTCAACAAGCTACTAAAGAATCAACACAGTTCAGTGAACTTGTTAAAAATTACAGAAACTTCAGTTTTCATTCGGTGACGATTCGACGACTGCAAAAACTGCAGTTCAGCTAGAGTAAAGGTTTTCCCGCGTCAGCACGTGCACAACGCTCTCTCTAATTGGTTTTAAAATCCGGCTGTTCCAAAAACGCGGAGTGTGGAGTGCAAAAAAAAGAAGAAATTAAAAATCAAAAATTAAAAAAAAAATAGAAATAAAAAAACTTAAAAGTGAATTAAAAGAATAATTAAATACATAAATAAACTAGAAATAGAAATTTACGAAATAAAAAATAATAATTATGAAAAAATTCACACCACCTGAAGTGGACTGTTCATATCACGTATATTTCATTCAGTCCAAATGGTACATTCAACTCACGATTTTCATAGTTAGCAGTTCACTTTTACGAAAAAAGTAAAGAACAGTCCAGTTTTGACCATGTTTAGAAAATGTGAGAAATTACACCTTTGGTTTCCTTGGAAAGCCGTGTTGCCTCGAAACAAACTCACGCTTTGCTTCCCAAAAATAAACGGCTGCCCGTGTGAATTAACCCCTGAACTTGCCAACTGCGTGTGTCAAAGAAGTGTCTTCGCAGTCAAAGAGGTGTCAAAGAAGTGTCCGCAGTCCGCAGTCCGCAGTCCGCAGTCCGCAGTCCGCAGTCCGCAGTCCGCAGTCCGCAGTCCACAGTCCGCAGTCCGCAGTCCACAGTCTGCAGTCC